TTTTTGAGGTTGTTTGGTTTTGGTTCAGGTGAGTTTCAGAGTAAAATGGGACACTTAGTCCTTAAGTTGGAGCTTTAAGTTGAAAGAGTTGACCGTAATTTGCGTTTTATGTAGACGACTCCAGAATGGAGTTTTTATGGTCCCAATAAATCTGTATGGTGATTTTGGACTTAGGAGCGTGTCCGGATGTTGATTTGGAGGTCCGTAGGTCGGTTCGGCTTGAATTGGCGAAAGTTAGGAAGTTGAAGGTTTGGAAGATTTGAAAAGTTTGATCGGGTGTTGACTTTATTAATATCAGGGTCGGATTCCGATTCCGGAAGTTAGAATAGGTCCGTCATGCCATTTATGACTTGTGTGAAAAATGTGAAGTCAATTGGAGTTGTTTTGGTATCAATCAACATTAGTTTTTTGGAATTCAGAAGTTCATAGTTTCATAGGCTTGAATTGGGTTGTGATTCATAGAATCGATGTTGTTTGATGTGATTTTTGGTCTCGAGTAGGTACGTTATGTGTTTTGCCACTGGTTGGTAAATTCGGACGGGGTCTCGTGGGCCCCGGGTGATTCGGATTGAATCCGGAGCAAGTTTGGACCTTATGTGATTACTGAGGGTTGCTGTGTTTGGTGCAATCGCACTTGCGCATTCTGGTTCGTAGGTGCGGTGCCGCAGGAGCAGCCCTTGAGCCGCAGAAGTGAAAGTGGCCTTGCCCAGCTGGGACCGAAGGTGCAAAACCCCTAAAGTTAAGTTGGAACCGCACCTGTGATGGATTTTCCGCAGGTGAGGCATCATAGATGCGACCCTAGGCCCACAGAAGCGGGGATCGCTAGGTAGAAAAGGAGTCTTCGAGGGTTTGAATTTCATAATCCATTTTTTGATCGAGTTAGTTCGGTTTGTGGTGATATTTCAGGAGATTTGCAAGGAAATTATTGGGGTAAGAAATCCTAACTCGGTTTTGGTTAAATTACGCGAAGCTATTGTTAATTTCATAATTTAATTAGTGATTTGAGTTGCAAATTTTGGGAAAAATTGTGAAAACTTCCTAGTCTAAATGTTGAGGTTTTGAAAGGTGATTTGAGGTCATATTTGAGTAATTCTTGTATGGTTGGAGTCGTTATCGAATAGGTGTTCGGCTTTTGTAATTTTGGTCGGGTTTCAAGACGCGAGCCTGGGTTGACTTTTTGAGTTGACTTTTTATTTCTTTTCAAAGATCGTAACTTTATTGTTCAAATTAGTTTCCTATAGTTTAAATTTATGGTATGAAGTTGTTTTGGCTAGATTCGAGCCGTTTGGAGTTGGATAATCGAGGAAAAGGCCTACTAGTCGATTGAGTTAGCGTGTTTTGAGGTAAGTATGTTACCTAACTTTATGTGGGGGAATTACCCCTTAGGATTGGTATTATTTGTGATAACTGTGATGTATGGAAGCCGTGTACACAAGGTGACGAGTGTGTGCACGGGCTAAATATGAATATTTATCGGTTTTAGCTATGTAGATTCCTTTCATGCCTTAATTAAGTTACCTTAACATGTTATAATCATCATTTCTAGTCTATCTTAACATACTATACTTGTCTTATCTCTTACTTGTTAATGGCCCTACATGTTTAGTTGGAGTTGCTATTGTTTCCTCTATTCCCTATTCATTATTTAACCGTGAATTCTTTACTTGAAGTTCTTATTCTTGGAATATCTTGTTGATGAAATGGGTATTGAGTTATAAAGGTCGTGATTCACATTGAGGCAAAGTGTTAAGTTGTGAAATACTATTCTATTTAGTTATTCACTTCCGGTTGTTATTGTTGAGACTCTTGTGTACATTGTGGTTGAGCCATGGGCTCTTTATTGTGAAAACACTGTTATTGTTGCTTTCTTTGACAAGTTGTGATATTGGGTACTTGAGGTGCGATTTGTTATACGTTGTGATATTGATAAACATACGGTGGAATAAGGTTTTGAGGTTGAAATGCATGCAGTGAGATGGATTGGTACGTGTGGATAGTAGGGGAACTACTAGAAGCCACGCGGTGTGATACGGTGGGCTAAAACACGAGAAGCTATTTCGGGAAAATGATTTTCAAATCTAAATACAAGGCTTCCGTGGTGTTATAGGAAAGATTGTGAATTTATTTATGATTTGAGACCATGACGCGGTACCTCGGTAGTGACTTTTGTTGATACTTTTCATTTCTTCACGTGTGTTTTTTAATGTTTTGTTCTGTGTCATAGCATCCCTTGTTTTCTTCACTATTATACACTTGTTCAGTTTCTTATTTATTCCATTAGGGCCTTGACCTGACCTCGTCAATACTCTATCGAGGTTAGGCTTGGCACTTATTGGGTACCGTTGTGGTGTACTTATGCTATGCTTATGCACATCTTTTTGTGTAGATCCAGGTACCTCCTACCAGTCCAGGCACTAGCGAGAGCTCAGCTCCGGAGACTTCAAGGTATACCTGTCGGTGTCCGTAGACCTCGGAGTCCCCCTCTACCTAGATTATTTTATTTCCTTATCCTTTTATAGACAATTATGTATAGAGATATTCAGTACCACTTCATAGAGCTTGTGACTTGTATTCGCCGGGTTTCGGGAAATTATAAATGCTGAGTTGCAGAGTCTATTTTATAGTAGTTGTTGAGTTATTGAGGCTTTAATCATTATTTCAGTTATTTCTGCATGAATGTTAGGCTTACCTAGTCTTAGAGACTAGGTGTAATCACGACATCCTACGGAGGAAAATTGGGGTCGTGACAAGTTGGTATCAGAGCTCTAGGTTCATAGGTGGTATGAGTCACAAGCAGGTTTAGTAGAGTCTCGCGAATTGGTATAGAGACGCTTGTACTTATCTTCGAGAGGCTATGGAGCTATTAGGAAAATCTTCACTTCTTTGATTCCTTATCGTGCGAATTTATTGACTTCAAAATTCTAAATCTTTGTCATTCTATTCTCTCACAGATGGCGAGGACACACACATCTGGATCGGATGTTCAGATACCCGCGCTCCCTACTAGAGCTGCGAGAGGTTGGGGCCGGGGCAGAGGCCGAGGACGGGCACGTGGCACAGCTAGAGCACCTGTCCGAGTTGCTACAGAGGAGCCATCAGTAGCTCCAGTTGGGGGGCAGGCACCTGAGGCGCATGTTACTGCCCCCGCACTTCAGGAGATCCTCACGTAATATTTGAGCATGTTTGGCACTCTAGCTCAGGCAGGGTTGATCCCACTTGCTCCTATCACATCTCAGGCCGGGGGAGGAGCACAAACTCTCACCGCTCATACCCCAGAGCAGCAGGTCCAGGTTGACCAGGTCCTAGAGGTCATACCAGTGCAGCTGGTTGTCCCAGTTCAGCCCGAGGTTAGGGCAGCAGCTTCTGAGGGGGAGAAACTAAAGCTCGAGAGGCACAAGAAGTATCACCCTCCTACTATTAGCGGTTTGGCTTCAGAAGATGCACATGGTTTTCTCAAGGTTTGCCTTCATATCCTCCGTACTATGGGTATTATAGAGTCGAGTGGGGTTGATTTCACTATGTTCCAGCTTAAGGGAGCGGATTAACAGTGGTGGTGAGCGTATGAGTTGGGTGGCCCGGCCGAGGTAGCGTCATTCACCTGGGCTCGGTTCTCAGAGATGTTCATAAGGGAGTTTTTCACCAGAGTCTTAGGGATGCATGGCGCGCATAGTTTGAGCAGTTGTGCCAAGGTGCTATGACCATATTAAAGTATGCGGTCCAGTTCAGCGAGTTGTCCAGACATGCACCTGTATTAATTTCCACTGTCAAAGAGCGAGTTCAGAAATTTATCGAGGGGCTCTACCCTGGCATTAGATTCAGCATGGCTCGAGAGTTGGATACTGACATCCCATACCAGCAGGCTATGGAGATCGCTTGTAGATTGGAGGGTATGTGGGACCGGGAGAGAGAGGAGAGGGAGGCAAAGAAGCCTCGAGATTCTGGCACATATAGTGGTGCCCGTGCCCCAGTTCCAGCGCATCATAGATAGAGGCTATGTGAGTCGTCCTGTTCATTCAGCACTTCCAGCTTCCAGCGGTATTCCGACCACTCCCAAGTCTTAGGTTGCTCATTATGCACCGCCACTATCTAGTGCACCTCCTACACGGGGTGCTTTCAATGGTCAGTCCAGCCGATCAGGCCCGAGCCAGTTCCAACAGCCACATCCTCCGAGAGCTTATTTTGAGTGTGGTGACACTCATCATATGGTGAGGGACTACCCAGACTCAGGAGAGGTGCACCTCCACAGACTAATCAGGACCCACGTATTCCATAGGGTCCTCAGGCTTCTCAAATCGTGGTTACCACACCAGTTACCACTCTAATCCATGTCCAATCTGTACTCAATAATGAGTGAAAACGATCGTTAGAAGAATAGTACCCACCATGAGTCGGGGTCAATTTCCACAGAGAGTTTAATATGGGTGTTAGGATATGTACATGATGAGAGCAAATTAAATAACTAAATTGCGCTTCCAAACAAAAGGATTTTGTTTTCAACTTCTAAATTATCACTAACAATTTTAAACTAAATGAGAAGAAACTAGAAAGCGAATGATTGTTTTTGTTGTTTTTACCAAATGGTTAAAAGTCCTAGAGATGTGACCTTCACCTAGGAGTTTACCTAATGGGTTAAGTATGTTAACACTTGCGTACATTTTTCAGAAGCCAATGCCTATCGGAAAGCTAGCTAAATGGCAAATTCTCCTCAACGAATTTGACATTGTGTACATAACTCATAAGGCTATCAAAGGACAAGCGTTAGCCGACCACCTCACCGAGAATCCAGTGGATAGAGATTACGAACCGCTTACCATGTATTTCCCCGATGAAAAAGTACTATTTGTCAGGGAGGTTATCACAGAATCATACCCTGGGTGGAGAATGTTTTTTTTGATGGAGCAACAAATTTCAAAGCAGACAGGATTGGGGTAGTCTTGATTTCGGCATATGGACAACACTACCCAGCATCGACGAAGATAAGATTCCCTTGTACCAACAATATGGCCAAATATAAAGCGTGCTTCCTTGGAATTGCAATGGTAGTCGACATGAACATCAAAGAGCTTTTGGTCATAGGAGATTCCGATTTGCTGATACACCAAGTCCAAGGAGAATGGTCCACCAAGAATGTCAAGATACTTCCATACCTGCACTGCATGAAGGAGCTATACAAGAAGTTCCCAAAGATTAAGTTCAAGCACGTCCATAGGATTCAGAATGAGTTCGCTGATGCCCTTGCAACCTTATCATCTATGATTCAGCATCTAGACAAGAACTATATCGACCTTATCGAGGTAGAGATCAGGGATCAACATGCCTATTGCTTCTATGTAGATGAAGAACCCGATGGTAAACCATGGTATCACGATATCAAGAGATTCCTTGCAACTAGAGAATACCTAGATAATGCTACTAATGGTTAAAAAACGAGCCCTAAGGAGGTTGGAAAACCACTTTTTCCTCAACAGGGAAGTCTTGAACAGGAGGACCCGGGACTTAGGTTTGTTAAGATGTGCAGACGCTGCTGAAGCCACCAGACTATTGGAAGAAATACATGCAGGGACCTGCGAACCCCACATGAACAGGTTCACATTAGCCAAGAAAATTTTGAAGCTAGATACTTTTGGATGACTATGGAAAGCGACAGTATCCGCTACGTGCAGAAGTGTCACCAATGCCAGATTCACGGTGATTTCATCCGGGTTCCACCGAATGAGTTAAATGTAATGGGTTTACCCTGGCCGTTCGCCGCCTAGGGCATGGACATGATTAGACCCATAGAGCCTGTAGCATCAAACAGACATTGTTTTATCTTGGTAGCTATCGACTATTTCACCAAATGGGTTGAGGCATCTACTTATAAGGCCTTCACAAAGAAGATAGTGGCAGATTTTGTCCGAAACAACATCGTTCGCAGATTTGGGATACCGGAGTCTGTTATCACTAACAATGCCGCTATCCTCAATAGCGACCTCATGAGAGCAGAATCGTCCACCACAATTCCACAGCCTACAGACTGCAAATGAATGGGGCAGTCGAGGCAGCTAACAAGAATATCAAGAGGATTCTGTGAAAGATAGTGGACAATCACAGACAATGGTACGAGAAGCTACCTTTCGCTTTATTAGGTTATCGGACTACCATGAGAACATCCACTGGGGCAATGCCATACATGTTGGTATACGGCATTGAAGCAGTGATACCCGCAGAAGTCGAGATACCATCCTTAAGAGTCATTCAAGAAGAAAAATTGAACTACGCATAGTGGATATGGGTCAGGCAGGAACAACTCATGCTCATTGACGAGAACAGAACCAATGCAGTATGACATGGACAATTATATCAGAACAAGGTGACCAGTGCATTTAACAAAAAGTGTGATGCCTTGCCAATTCATACCGGGGTAGTTGGTATATAAGGGTGGAAAATAATGTATATATGTTGTTATTGTTGTGTTCTTGTGTTTTTGATGTTATCTTAAGTTTGGAGGAAGTAAGGATTATAGGGGAGATGCTGCTCGTTTTAATACAAAATAAGTTTGTCGTTTGTTGTGCGATAGTTTTACCTTTCGTAACATAATGATAGTATTATTATCGTTGTTGTAGATTAAGGTGCGAAGAGGTGAGTTCAACTGTGAGTTCAACTTGGTGATTGGAAAGATTGTGATAAGGTATGTTAAGGCTAAGCCCTTCCTTCATTTAGGCATGATCTCGTAATTACATTTGTTTGATAACGAGGCATAAAGAGAAGTTCATACTCCCGAATTTATATACACTATCCTAGTCTCATAAGTTACAGTATTCTCCCTTATCGGGACTTAATATTCAGTTTAGTTTTGTCTTTATTCAGTCAAGAGAGCATAGGGTCTATATATATATATACAGTATTACAGTATTTTCACCACTATCGAGCTATAATCGGTGGGCAGGCCCCTATTGGGCAACCTCTGATCAGATGGTAAGTTATATACTGGGCCTACTATGGCCGAGCGCCTATGACCGAGCCCAGAATGGCCAAGATATAGATCCTAGTATGGCTGAGGGCCTATGAGCGAGCCTACTACGGTGGAGCAGTTACACGTTCCGAGCCTTATATGGCCGGACATTTATTTTACTTACTATATTGAGATAGTTGAGTCAGTATTAGCAGGTAAGTATATTTCCATATCATCTTTGACTCCCAGTTACTTTCAATTATCATATTATCAGTTCAGATTCAGCTTTCAGTTATTTTATTTCCTTACATACTCGGTACATTATTTCGTACTGACGTCCCTTTTATGGGGGCGTTGCATTGCATGCGTGCAGGTTCATTTAGATAGACGGGTAGACCTCCTTAGTAGGTGTTGCCCAGGTTTAGCCTGATCGGTAAGCTCCACGTCCTTCAGAGTTGCCAGGTCTAGAGTTTTATGTACATCTTATGTGTGTGTATATATATATATATATATATATATATATATATATATGTTNACGTATATTTTGTTGGTTTGTCAGCTGTAGTAGTTATGACGGCCTTATCGGCCCAGCATTATATTAATGTTTAGTCAGCGTTAGTTTTCGTTCAGTTTTATATTTTGCTTCGCAAATTGTCTTGCAATATGGCCCCATGGCCAAAGTATGACATTATATGTTATGTCCGTGCATCCTTAAAAACACACGAAGGTCCTTAGCGAAATGTCATTTATTTTTTTGTCCTTTAAAAAATAAACTTCACACTAGACAAAATAGTCATTTAATTACAACAACAACAACAACAACAACCTAGTATAATCTCACTAATCGAGTCTGGGGAAGGTAGTTTGTACACAGACCTTACCTCTACCCTGGGGTAGAAAGGCTGTTTCCGATAGACTCTCGGCTCCCTCCCTCCAAGAACTCCCACCTTGCTCTTGGGGTGACTCGAACTCACAACCTTTTTGTTGGAAGTGGAGAGTGTTCACCACTAGAGCAACCCATTCTTGTCTAATTATTTTCCTAAAATAGTCATTTAATTATTTTCCTAAAATTTAGGACTTTGAAATCAATTAAAATTCTACATATTATATCTTTCCTTATTTGAAATTATATGTAATTAATCCTAACTCACGCATGCTATAACTCAAAATATTTTTTTTTTTGGAGAAAAAAACTTATGTTTTAAAAGATAGCAATTTGCTTTGTTGACCAATAAAAGTCTCAGTCTTCGGCTGGTAGATGTCGAGGCAGAGGTAGAGGTTCCAGTTCAAGTGGTAATCAAAACCGTATCTATGCTTTAGCGGGTCGACAGGACCAGGAGTCTTCACCAAACGTTGTGACAGGTATACTGACCATTTGCTCTCATGATGCTTATGCATTGATAGAATGAGGATCTACTTTACCGTATATTACCCCATTTGTTGCGGGAAAGTTTGGTATAGTGCCTGAAATACTAAGTGATCCTTTTGCGGTATCTACACCGGTCGGAGAATCGATTATTGCTAGACAGGTTTACCGAGGTTGTACGGTGACAGTTTGTAGTCGTCAGACCTCAGCTGACCTAGTTGAGCTAGAGATGATGGATTTTGATGCTATCATAGGCATGGACTGGTTGGCAGCTTGCTATGCCATAATTGATTGCCGAGAAAAGGTAGCCAGATTTTATTTTCCAGGTGAGCTAGTCCTTGAATATGTAGGTAATACAATGACACCGAGAGGTAGGTTTATTTCCTATCTGAAGGCGAGGAAAATGATCGCAAAAGGGTGAATTTATCATATTGTGCGAGTTAGAGATGCAGATGCTGAGATACCTACACTTCAGTTTATTCACGTAGTCAAAGAGTATGCAGATGTGTTTCCAGATGAGCTTCCAGGTATTCGTCCAGAGCGAGAGATTGATTTTAGCATCGATTTGCTTCCATGAACTCAACCAATATCCATCCCTCCGTATAGAATGGCACCTGCCAAATTGAAGGAGTTGAAGGAGCAGTTAAAAGCTTTGCTGGAGAAAGGTTTCATCAGGTCCAGTACCTCACCTTGAGGTGCACGGGTACTATTTGTGTGGAAGAAAGACGGCTCGTTGAGGATGTGTATCAATTATAGGCAGCCGAACAAAGTAACTATTAAGAATAAGTATCCACTTACAAGGATCGATGACTTATTTGATCAGTAGCAGGGGGATAAATTCTTTTCAAATATAGATTTGAGGTCGGGGTACCACCAGGTCCGAGTTCGGGAAAAAAATATTCCGAAGACAGCCTTCAGGACCCGATATGGCCACTTCGAGTTCCTTGTCATGTCTTTTGGGTTGACGAATGCACCCGCCTTGTTTATGGACTTGATGAATAGCCTATCCTGGCTATTTTTAGATCTGTTCGTGATAGTATTTATTGATGATATTTTGGTTTATTCCCATTCAGAGGATGAGCATGCGGACCACCTGAAAGCAGTACTCCAAACCCTTCGTGATCGTAAGTTATATGCTAAGTTTTCTAAATGTGAGTTCTGGTTGAAGTCTATAGCATTCTTGGGGCATATTGTATCGGATGAAAGTATAAAGGTAGACACTCAGAAGATTGAGGTCGTGAAATCTTGGCCTAGACCTACCACTCCGGTAGAGGTTCATAGCTTTCTAGGCTTAGCAGGATACTACCGGAGATTCGTAGAGGGCTTTTCTTCCCTTTCGGCACCATTGACGAAGTTGACGCAGAAAGCAACTAAGTTTCAATGGATGGAGGCTTGCGAGTGGAGTTTCCAAGAGCTTAAGAACAGGTTGACCTCAGCGCCAGTTCTAACACTTCCAAAGGGTCCAGAGGGTTATGCCGTGTATTGTGATGCCTTAGGTGCCGGTTTAGGATATGTCCTGATGCAACATGGGTAGGTAATTCCGTATGCTTCAAGGCAGTTGAGGAAGCACGAGAGGAATTATACGACCCATGACCTCGAGTTAGTTGTGGTTGTCCATGCACTTAAGATATGGCGGCATTATTTATATGGTGTTCATGTTGATGTATTTACAGATCATAAAAGCCTACAATATATCTTCAAGCAGAAAGAGTTGAATTTGCGACAGAGGCGAATTATGATGTTAACATTCTCTACCATCCAGGGAAAGCTAATGTTGTAGCAGATGCCTTAAGTCGCCAATCTATGGGTAGTTTAGCACATGTAGAGGCTGAGAAAAGACAATTAACTAGAAAGATTCATCAATTGGCTTGTCTGGGGGTTCAATTAGTAGATTCTGATTGTCACGACCCAACTGGAGGGTCATGACTAGCACCCGGGCCATACTTGCCGAGCACCAGCGTACATTTTATCTAACCTTTCTTATTATCTTTAAGGGCCGAAAAGATCAATATAAATGGTAGACATGGATCATGAACATCCAATAATGAAAGATAATGTCATGAACNACTTTGTGGGCATCACCATCATCATATCATACCCGGCCGTAATAGGCTCAGTAAAAC